ACGACGACGACGACGACGACGACGACGACGGCGAGGGCCAGGGAGGCGAAGAGAAATTCGATCTTGGCCTCCGTGCTCTTCTGCCTCCCCCATCTGCCTTCTCCCCCTTCCATCATCCCTCCTCCTTCCTCCTCCCTCCTCCCTCCTTCCCCTCCCCTCCTCCCTTCTCCCTCCTCCCTCCTCCTTCCTCCCCTCCTCTCCACCTTCCTCCCTTCTCCTTCATCCTGTCCTTCTCCCCCGCGGCCGGCATTTACTGCAAGGCAATGTACTGCACATGCAGTGCGAATTCAACGCAGTGCAACGCAATGCCACGCAACAGGATGCAATACAATGCGACGCAGCGCGATGCACCACCATGCAACGCAACGCAATGCAATGCAGTGCAATGCAATGCGACGAAACACGTGGTAGCACCGTTGAGCCGAACAAAAACACCTATGCCAGGACGACGACGATGACGAGGGCCAGGAAAGCGGACGAAAATACTGTCTTATCCTTCTTCTCGTCCTTCTTCCTCCTTCCTCCTCCCTCCTGTCTCCTCTATCCTCCCTCCTCCCTCCCCATTCCTCCCTCCTCCTCCCCCTCCCCCCCTACACTCAAATAGGATGCTCTGTCGCCGTTTGGCTCCAGCTCCGGCGCGTACAATCCGTTATCAAAGAGAGTAAGATATCTCCGCGATCTACATCTCACTGCCGCAATACTTTCTCTTGTTCCGCTTGGCAGCGGAGCCGGGAGTGATCCCAGCTCGCGATCCACGGAACGCGTGAAATGATCGCGATGTGGACGCGCATTCGCATTTCCTTCCACCGCCGTATTGGTACCACCCTCCGATCCCTGAACAGCTTGTGATTTAGGTTGTTCTGCGAACCTACGGGGAAATCGCCCCAGACACGCGCAGGTCTGGCTGCGATGTCAACAGCAGCTGCTGGCGACGCGGTGTGGAGCGAACCGCCCACGGGAGCGCCACGACGCTCCGACGACCCACCGCACCCCACAGGTATTGACCGCAGCTTCGCGTCGGCCAGGACTGCGAGGCTCCTCCCTGGGCTAGTGCTGTGCCTCGCGATGTGTGCGACGGTGATGGCTGTCGTTGCGAGCACGCGAGGTTCGTGAGAAGCCTCCTCAGGAGTTCCAGCCCCCCCCCTCTGCCGTTGCCGCTTGGTTCTCGGGCCAGAAGTCGGTTTTCCGGCGTCCGTTTGGGGCCGTTCCGGCACCCCTTGAGCGCCCTTGACGAGGCGCAGCTGATGGAAACCATCCCAGGCTTCAAACATGTTCGAAAACGATGAGGAACCTTTTGTCTTCTGTGAAGAAGCCCCCCCTGATTCGGATCCATGGTATTTTTGTCAGTGATCAGATTTTGATTTGTGTCGGGAATGCACCCGAACGGTGCGACACGGTAGGGCAAACATTTCCGCTTCAGAAATTGGGGCGGATATGTCTGCATAGGTGTTGTGGAACCAGCAGCGGCAAAGCAGGGCGGAAGTCGACATCAGACGAGTTTGAAAAGTAGGGCGGACATTTCTGCCCTACCTGCGACATCGCCCAGTGTACCGCGGACCATTGGTCAAAATTGCCCAGGCTGTCTTGGAGGTCTCTTGTACGAGAATGACGCCCATGCACCGTGACGACATGTTTGGACGCCCATTCAGGCCCCGCACCAGCGCGGTATGGTGCATATCGTCTCGGCCCTGAGGGCCAAAAACTTGTGCACCGTACCATTCCACGGCCGAGGACCGACGACGCCTCGAGAGACGCCAACGCGTTGACGAGGGCGAGGACGAGGACGAGGAGGATTATGAGGAAGACGAGGAGGATTAAGAGGAGGGGGAGGACGAGGAGGAGGAGGAGGAGGAGGAGCAGGAGCAGGAGGAGGGGGAGGAGGAGGAGCAGGAGGACGAGGACGAGGAGGAGGAGGAGGAGGAGAAGGAGGAGGAGAAGGAGGAGGAGAGGAGGGGGAGGAGGAGGAGCAGGAGCAGGGGCAGGAGTAGGATCAGGAGCAGGAAAGCGGAGGTGGCGGAGGTGGCGGAGGAGGTGGAGCAGGAGGAGGAGGTGGAGGAGGAGGACAAAGAGGTGGAGGTGGAGGCAGTGTTGGGGCCCTCTTTGGGAGGCCGCCCGTCCCCGCCGCCGCCGGACCCTCTTGGGTGGCGCGCCGCCGCCCCCGAGGGCCTCGAGGCATCCACGCTCGCGCTGAACAGCAGCGCGGTCAACATGGGGACGCCGGGGGGCGCAGCGGCAGTCCTGCGGGGGGGCGGGGAGGGGGACGAGCGCAAGGAGGGAGGAGGAGGAGGAGGAGGAGGAGGAGGAGGAGGAGGAGGAGGAGGAGGAGGAGGAGGAGGAGGAGGAGGATCAGGACGGAGGAGGAGGAGGAGGAGGAGGAGGAGGAGGAGGAGGATCACTGACCAAACTGCCAGGTCTGCTTGAGTTTCACTCCAACTCGCAGCCTGTTAGTAGGGGTTGCTAGCGAGGGCTCGCCCTGGCTAGTAGCCCCCACAGGATCGGTACGAATTCGCTGTCCGGGTATTAGGGGTAGCACGGAAGGCCACGATGCTGTTGACGGCAGGTTTTGAGCGTACAGTGGGCTGTACTTCGAGGTCCCTCCCATGTACTGATTTGCAGCCTGCCCTGCGGCCTGGCGGCCTGGCGGGGTCTTGCCCCGTGGTGGCCCCGGTTGGCAATAATGAGGCTGCGCGGTGGGTCGGATTGGCTACCCGGGTTAGGGGCAGCCCGTGCGGAGGGGCGAATTGGCTTCACGGGTTAGGGGTAGCACCTGCTCCTCCAAGGACCAGAGCTTCATCGGGGACTGCGAGACCGCCCCAGAGAATCTGGAGTCCATGGAGAAACTACAGAACAAGAGCGACGAGGGCAAGCTGGCGCCCATCGGTCCCAACATGGAGCCGCCGCTGGAGGAGCTCATGCTGCGAGTGTCCCAGCTTGAGAGGCTCGCGGGCCACCATGAGAAGGCCAGCGACATGATGCACAAGTGCGGTCCCATGTAGATCCATGACGAGGTGAAGATGTTTACGGCCGCCGCCAATACAGACCTTGACCAGGTCCACCGCTAGCTGGTGGAGCAGATGGCCGCGCACAAGGCCGGCCTTGACAATGCCAACCGCCCCCCAACATGCAGCAGTTTCTCGAACAGGTCCGTGCCGACCTGAAGTCGCAGACGACCGTCTCGGCCCACTGCGTGTTGAAGGGGCAGGTCCAACGTGACCTGAAGTTGCAAACGGCCGCCATCAAGACATACCTCGGCTCGGTCCACGGCGAGCTGAAGGAGCAGATGGCCGCAAACAAAACAGACCTTGACAATGTCAACAGCTTCGCGACTGCGCAGCTGAGCGGCGAGGCACCCATCGAATATCTCGAGCGGATCCGCGAAGAGACGACGATGCAGAAGGCCGCCGCCAAGACAGACCTCGACCAGGGCACCAACCACTTGAGGGAGCAGAAGGCCGAGCTCTCAGCAGATCTCGACAAGATCAATTGCCAGGCGAAGGAGTTCGAAGTGAAGCTCGGCGCCGAGCTCGTTGAGCTCAAGAGCTCCGCGCTGGACACCGCCCACCCGCCGGTCGCGCCCTGCCTCCATGCCAAGGGCGCCGAGGCCTGAGGGGGCCTGAGTCGGGCCTGCGCGCGCCGCGCGGGCGCGGCCCTCTCTCGGCCTGGCCGGTTTTGACGGCAGCGTCGCCTTCGGGCGCGTCGCTGCGCCGCCCGCGCTCGTCGGATGAGCCGCGGCGGCTGGCTCGCCCCCCCCCCCCTCTGCCGCGCCGCGCGCGCCGCGCGAGGGGCTGCCGCCGGGGCGGTTAGAGGCGCGCATCGGGGCGCCTTCGGGCGCGTCTCGGAAGCTGCTCCAGCATCGGCAGGTGACCCACAGCAGCTCACCCCTCCTGCGTCGGCTGGTGAACCGCAGGGGGGCGACAAAAGCGCCCCCGCATGTTTTTAGATTTTCCTGGGGGCGCTGTTTCGTGGGTTAGCAGAATCCGCGGCATCCGCCCCAACCGCCTGAGAGGGGACGCGCCGCTCGAAGAGCTGGTGCCTCTCGCTGATTTAGCGAGCGCCTTGGACCGCGGTGGTTCCTTGGCTTCGACTGGCGTGGAGGGCTGGGCTCTGGGGCGCCCTTCTCCTGCGGGGTCGGGGTCGCTGAAGACCCCCCCCTGTCGTTGCTGGTCCAATCCACTGCGATGCGACGCGTCAGCGGGGGGGGCTGCCTGGGCCAGGGGCGGTGCGCGCGGGGGGGGCGAAATGGCTGCCGGGGTTAGGAGTGGCGCGGAGGGCCAAACCTCCACGCTTCCGCTCTCCGCCCCCTCTCCTCCTCCTCCTCCTGCCCTTCCTCCTCCTGTAGCAGCGTTGTGAAACAGAGCCCGTGGAGTGTAACAGAGCGTGCAATGCTAATATTTTCCGCCTGGCCGCACTTCGGCTCAAGCGGTTTTTCTCGAGGCGGCGTGTGGGAGATTTCGGCCTGGCCACCTTCTCCAAAGCCTCCGCACTCGAGGCCACCAGCAGTGGATTGCAGGTCCCTCCTTGCGCCCTGGCGCTGTCGACCTGCGCCAGCGCCGGCCTCTCCGAGTCTGGCTGCTGGGGGCGCCGGTGCCGCTGCGCGTGGCGGTCGTCGCCGGGGGCCTGGGCATCCTGCTCGGCGACCTCGCGGTGCTGCTGGTGCGGGCGTTCGACTGCGCGCGCCTGGTGTCGGTGCAGATCTGCTCGTGAGACAAGCGGGGAGGCAGAGGAAGCGTGGCCTGAGAGGCTGATCCTCGCCTCCCTGGGCGGGGTGAAGTATCTGGTGCTGTCCCCCAACGAGGGCATGAGTGAGGAAGAGATCGACATGCGCAGCGTGTTGGACTTCGGACAGGCGGGCACGCGGGGCGGCCTGCCGACCGGCCTTAGGGCAGCGAAGGGCCAGCCGGACTACCGCTTCAAGGAGCGGCCGCGCGGCGCGGCGCTGCAGTCGTGGATCATGGTCAGGCTGGCGCCGGGCGAGACCGCGGACGAGGCCGCGCGGGCCTTCGTGGCGACCGCGGCGCTGGATGCTGTCAGGGGGATGCCGACGCCGCCGCCCGCGGAGGGCGCCCGCGCGCTCGAGATCAAGCGGGGCGCGGCCTGCCGCTGCTTCGGGGACCTGAAGAGTGTGGTAGACTCATCGGGGCTGTGCGAGTTCGAGGACTGGGTGCTGTCTGGGCCCCGGACCACTTTGTACGTGGAGAAGGAGATTGCCAAGCAGAGCGGGGGCCCGGTCCATCGCCATGCTGCTTGGAAGCACGAGAACAAGCTCGACGATGATGAGCAGGGCGTGGTGGCCCACGAGATGCTGTCAGAGAGTTTGGAGCTGGCTTGCACGCACGGCCAGGTCGACGCTACCAACCTGGCGAGCTGGGAGGAGCTCGCGAGGCATTTGCAGGTCTTGGGGCACAAGACCAAGAAGAAGAAGGAGACGATCAAGGAGTTCGATGGTCAGGACTACTGCTTGGGCCGCGCCAGGAGGACGAGGGGGGCCATCATCGGTCTGGAGCTGCTGAAGTGGGTCGCGGAGTCCGCGGCCCGGGACTCGGCCAATCTGAAGGAGGAGCGCAAGGCTACGGAGGAGCGTGCGTTGGCGCGCGCTCCTCCGAAGAAGTTATGATGGGCTTCGAGGTTGGGAGTTGGCCGAACCCAGCCAGTGCCAACAGGCCGCTGGAGCGCATGGTGCCGAGGGATTTGTTGCCCTTGCCCTCGGTGCCCGCGCCGCCGGCTCGGGGCGCGCGGTCGCTGCCGCGCCGCGCCGCCCAGAGGATCGGCCGCAGGTCTGCTGTGGGCCGCCGCGTGAACGACTGCATCGCCGCCCTGAACAATCTGCACGGGGAGGGCGACTTTTGCTCGAAGGCCCGTCCTTCGGAGGCACAATTTTCTGCTGTGGACACGCTCTGGCAGGCTGTGTCGGGCGACAAGCCGCCGGACAACGCCCCCAGCCCCGAGGCAGCCCTCGTGGAGTTGCTCGGCACGGGTAGTCTGGGCTACGGCTCTGACGGCCCCACTGTGGTTGCGCCGCATGATCGCGGCCTGGTTTCGTGGCCTGAGTCGGCGGGCTGCGTCAGCTTGCTGGAGGTGCTGCCGGAGCCAGACCGCCAGGAGGTGATCGACGGTAAGAATTCGATGATGCTTCGCGCTGAAGAGGTTCGCCCAGGCGCCACCAAGGTGTACTGGGATAAGACCTTGCAATCCAACGCAGACGAGTACATGCGGTTCGTGCAGGACCTGCTGGACCGCGGCATGGTGGAGCTGCGGACTCGTCGCGAATTTGAAGTGGGAGTGTTTTTCGTGAGGAAGAAGTCGGGCCGCCTGAGGCTCATAGTGGACGCTCGAGCTGTCAACCAGGCGCTGAAGCGGCCGCCGACGATCCACATGGCGTCCACCGCGGCGCTGGTGAACATGGAGGTCGAGGGCGGCGCCCAGCTGGAGTTCTCGATCCAGGACATCGCAGACTGCTTCTACCAGTTTCGCGTGCCGGACTACATGGTGCCGTGGTTTGGCATGCGCCCTCTTAGGGCAAGGCAGCTGGGCGTGAAGGTGGTCGACGGCCTCGCGGTCTCAGAGGGGGCGTGGGTCTACCCATGCCTGCGGGTGCTGCCCATGGGCTTCGCGTGGGCCATGCGCTGGACGCAGCAGGCGCACCGCGAGCTGCTGCGGCGAGGGGGCCTCGGTGGCATCGAGAGCGAGCTGGTGGACAGGCAGATCGCTCCAAGCGTGGACTCGCCTCAGGTGCCGAGGGTCGTCTACGTGGACAACGAGATCTTCGTCTCGTCGCGACCGGGTGCCACCCGGGGTGCGAGAAGGCAGGCGGCCAAGGTGATGGCCGAGGCTGGGCTGCCGCTGCGCGAGGTCGAGGAGAGCAAGACGGTCGTGGAGGCGCTGGGCCTGGAGCTGGACGGCATCAAGCTGCGGGCCCGGCTGGCACGGGCCAAGCGCTGGAGGCTCGGCCTGGGCACCCAGGCCCTCCTGCGGCGCCGGCGCGTGGCGGGCAGGGAGGTCGAGCAGTTTCACGCATGCCATGCTGCTGAATCGCCCCGCGTTGTGCGTCTTCCGCTCGGCCTACGACTTTGCCCGGAAGCACTACAGGGCGCCTGTGCCGCTCTGGCCGTCGGTGCGGCAAGAACTGGCTAACGCGCTGCACCTCGTGCCGTTGCTGGCCGTCCAGTTCGATCTGCCGTGGTCCGGGCGCGTCACCTGCTCCGATGCCACGCTGCGCGGCTACGCGGTGCAGGAGGCTGACATGGAACCGTCGGCCGTGCGGGAGGTCGGACGCTGGAGTGAGCGCTGGCGCTTTCGCATCCAGTCGACCTTGCGCCCGCGCGAGGCAGCACTGCTCGAGCGCGAGGGTGAGAGTCAGCACGGGCGACCTCTACCTCCTCCTCCGCCGGGGCTCCCGAGTGTCGACCCCATGGGCCCCCGAGGTTTACATCATGTACACCCAGCCATGCCTCTACGGGTTCCTGAAGGCCTTAGTGGAGCCCCTCGTCGTCAAGCGCTTCTGGATCTACCTCTGGCTGGTGCTCTTGGGGCCGCTGGGGCCGCTGCGGAAGGCTGCTGGGGCGAGGAGTCAGGTTATCCTGCGGGTTTCTTAGGAGACCTCATTGACGGGGACGTGGACATCAGCATCAATCAGGAGTTCCCAGAGATCCCAAAGGGGTTCATCAGCGAGGGCTCGTGGAGGACCATCCAGGCAAGGATATATCATAGGAGAGAGGCCATCCATCTTAAGGAGCTCAGGGCCGTGCTGTTCGGGTGGAGGCGTAAGTGTCGTCAAGCCAGATATCATCGTCATCGCCATTTGTTTCTGTGCGACAACATGGGTATGGTCCTGAGCCTCGAGAAGGGCCGAGCGGTGTCACCTCCGGTGCTGTTTCAACTCAGAAAGTGGGCCGCTTTGTCACTGGCCTCCTTCTCTCGTACCAGCGTGCGCTGGGTGGCCAGCGAGCTCAGCCCAGCTGATGAGCCTAGCCGATGGTTCGACTCGCCCGCTGAGAAGGCGGCTGCGGCGGCGCTGGATGCCTGGCGACGGCGGCCCGCTGGAGAGGCAGCCGAGGCCTGCTCGAGCGCTTCCCGAGAGGGATGGCGCGCGCGGGCCTGGCGGCCCCCTGCGCAAGAGGGTACTGCGGAGGAGCGGCGCCTTGCCAGAGAGCCACGGGCTCCCGCTCCGCCGTCGGCTTGCCCCAGCCCCTGTGGTCAGAGCGGCAGCGGGCCCGGCATCCTCGACCGAGCGACGGCTGCCTTCATCGACGAGGTCTCGCCGATCCCGTGCGCCCCGCCGCGTCCGCCCTCCCCCGCCGGCGTCTGCGCGAGCGATCGCGGCGGCGAGGGGGCGTGCGGTCGGGACTGGTGGGCTCACGACGCTGGAGCAGGAGGGCATCGCCCAAGCGACGAGGCAGGACTACGAGAGAAGGCTGGATCGGTTCGACGTCTTCTGCAGGACCCACGGGCTCACCACGGCGAGCGACGTCGAGTTGAAGAAGGCCGTGGGGGAGTACATGGAGCTGCCTTTCAACCAGGGAGAGCCGTCGAGCAGCGGGGCCAAGCTGCGGGCCGCGATAAGGCATCGCGGCCCAGGGCTGCACCATGCGGGCAGGCAGCTGAAGCTGCCCCGCATGGCGAGGGCGCTGCAGGGCTGGCGGGGGCTGGTGCGGCCGCTGGCGTGGGCGCCAGCGCCTTGGGCGGCGCTAGCGGCCCTCGCGGTGGCCCTGATCGACCTCGGCCAGCGGCGAGCGGCCCTCGGCGTGATGCTCGCGGCGGACGCCTACCTGCGCCCGAGGGAGCTGCTGACCCTCCGGGCGGACCACAGGGTGCTGGCGCAGCCGCGTGCTGGGGGCGACTACCGCTTCACGTCCCTGGAGCTGAGGCCCAAAAAGGAGCTGCAGTCAGCCGCGACCAAGGGCTTCAGCGACTCGATCCTGCTCAACAGCCCCGCAAAATCTTTTGTCGGGCCCCGGCTGGAGCAGATCGTTTCCCAGTCGCAGCCGGTGGATCTCCTCTCTCCATGGTCGGGCGCGGACTTCAATGCCATGTTCAAGGTAGCAGCCGCGCTCTTCGGTCTCAAGAGCTGGGAGTTGACGCGCCGCCGGGCCTCGCTCCACCGCGGCCGACAATTGCTGCTGGCCGAGGCCGACCAGCTGCTCGAGGGCGCCCTGGGCGACGGGCGCACCAACGGCTTCGCGCGGCGGCTCCAAGACGTGAGCCTCGTGTGACTCCGTCTCAGCCTAGTGCACAGGCCAGGCCGCTTGTTGTGGAGCTTTTTTCAGGAAAGGGAGGGCTCGCGGCTTCGCTGCAGCGGCGGGGCTGGAGAGCACGCACATGGGACATCAGAGATAGTGCCTCGCAGGACTTGAGCAAAGAAAGGTCCATTCGTGCAGTGCTACAGCTTGTGCCGCAGGCCAAATGGGTCCATTTAGGCACGCCGTGCGCAAGTTTTTCAGGAGCGCGCCGGGGCAAACCGGGCTCTCCGGGGGGCCCGCTGCGCTCTTGTCAATTTCCCTGCGGTCTCCCAAGCCTTTCAGGAGCTGACGCCCAAAAGGTCAAAGTAGGCAATCAGCTGCTACGAACCTCAGTTCGTATCATCAGAGCTTGCGTCCGTCATCGAGTGCCAGTGTCCTTGGAGAATCCACGTAGGTCCTGGCTGTGGAGGCAGCCAGGACTAGCACGCCTGTTGTGCCATGCGTCCCTCACGCACACAGTCTATTGTAAATATGGAATGCCGTGGCGGAAGGATACTACCCTAGCATGCTGGGACGACAAAAAAGGATTGTTGTCGCCGCTCGCCGCTCAGTGTGCCAATGTCGTGTGTGTGTTTTCCAAGAAACCACATCAAGTCCTTGAGGGCAGAGCTCCCGGAGGCCGCCTGTGGACACAAGTCGCCGAGCCCTATCCGCCCCGCCTGCTGCAGCAATGGTCGCAACTAATTCACGAATCGCATTTGGAGAAGGTGCCGCCTCAACCGCCAGATCGCATATAGTGGCGGTTGTTGGCAAGATTTGAGCTAGCTCGAAGATGCTGGCTCGCGTTCGGTCGCATTCGAGTTGCATGCTGCCCTGCGAGAATCATCTGTTCTGGCCCCAGGAAAAGATGGGCATGTAGCAGCGTTGTGAAACAGAGCCCGTGGAGTGTAACAGAGCGTGCAATGCTAATATTTTCCGCCTGGCCGCACTTCGGCTCAAGCGGTTTTTCTCGAGCCCTAAGCCAACCCACTGCGTGCCTCTTCAGTCTAGATGTATATCTGATGCGTGAGCTGCGGCAAGATTTGAGCTAGCTCGAAGATGCTGGCTCGCGTTCGGTCGCATTCGAGTTGCATGCTGCCCTGCGAGAATCATCTGTTCTGGCCCCAGGAAAAGATGGGCATGTAGCAGCGTTGTGAAACAGAGCCCGTGGAGTGTAACAGAGCGTGCAATGCTAATATTTTCCGCCTGGCCGCACTTCGGCTCAAGCGGTTTTTCTCGAGCCCTAAGCCAACCCACTGCGTGCCTCTTCAGTCTAGATGTATATCTGATGCGTAAGCTGCGGCAAGATTTGAGCTAGCTCGAAGATGCTGGCTCGCGTTCGGTCGCATTCGAGTTGCATGCTGCCCTGCGAGAATCATCTGTTCTGGCCCCAGGAAAAGATGGGCATCCTCATCCTCCTTCTCCACCTCCTCCTCCTGCCCCCCCCCCCTCTCCTCCGCGCCGACCCGGACAGGCGCCCTCGCCCCGCCCCCCCCCTCCCCCCCCCAGCGGGCGGCAAGAGCGGCTGTCGTTGGGCGCCCTTCCCCTGCCCTGCCGGGGAAGGCCCCCTGCCCCCCCTCTCGCGGGGGCTCGCGGAGGCAATCGCCCTTCAAACGAGGCGCCCGCAGGGTCGCGGTGGAGGGCGGCCTCCTGGGAAGGAAGGGTTGGACTGGCCTTGTTGCGGGATGGGGAAGCGCGCGGAAAGGAGTGCTGCGTCGAGGCCGCCCGCCGCGAAAAGCCTGCAAGGGGGGCGGGGGGGGGTGGGGTGGGGGGGGGGGGGGGGGGCGCAGGGCGAAGCATCGAATGCAGCTGAACGTTTGTGAAAACCGCACAAAGAGGCTCACTCGCAACCTGGCGTTGCCAGGGCGCTGCGCTTAACCCCCGCGGCGGGCAGAGACCGGGCAGAAGACCTCGACGACCTCGTGGGTCAGAGGTCGAAAGTTGAGACCAGTCCGAACCCGAGCCCGACTCCACCGCCTCGGCCCCCCGAGACGAGATGGGGGCGCCTCCGGCAGCTCGAACCAATATATACTATATGCACTTTGGCCTGAAGCAGTAGGCTGGGAGGAAGGACCTTGGTCGACCCGGCTCGCTGGGGCCATGCCGCGGCAGGCAGGGGCCGCCCGCGCGGCCGCAGCAGCGCCCGCGGCCACGGCGCGGCGGCGGCAGAGGAGGAGGCGGAATAAAAGGCCTGGCTCGCCGAAGCCCCCACCTCCGCTCGGAGCTCGAGCAGCGCGCTGAGAGGCATCGAGTCGCCATGAATTACCCCGTCGCCGCGGCGGTGATTCGGGGGCTGCCCCTCGCGAGCCCGAGTCCAGTAGGTTGCCGCGCGGCCAGTGTCCTTTGCTGGCAGACGCCTCTCCTCATGGTCGACAGCTCGCGCCGCGCCTTCCGAGCAATTGCTGCGAGCCGGGCAAATAGTCAAAATGCCAGCGGGATACCCTGTAACGAAGAGGTCGCGGCCCCGCTGGTGGTGGGACAAGGAGCGGACCATGGGCGGGGCCCCAGCGCGCCCTTCGCGGGGCGGCGGGGGGGGGGGAGATTCGGTGTCTTTACAACCAGAACAACCACTTTACAACCAGGTGGGTTACTTTACATCCAACATAGGATTGGAAAGTATGGTTTTTCAGCGAGAACGTCCACTTTGCAACCAGAGTGGCCCACTTTACAGCCAGAACGGACCACTTCACAACCAGAACGGACCACTTTTCAACCAGAACGGACCACTTTACAACCAGCTCAGAGTGGCCGTGCGTGTTTGGGCGTTCCGCAAAGTGCCCCAGAGCAAGTGGGCGCTCTGAAAAATGCCCCAGAGCAAGTGGGCGCTCTCAAAAGTGCTCCAGGGCGCGCGGACGCTCTGAAAAGTGCTCCAGAGCACGTGGGCGCTCCGGAGCCCGAGCGCCTGAACGCTCTGCGAAGGCCCCAGCGATGCCTCTGAGCGGTTTCCATTCCCGCTGGGCGCGTTCTCCTTTGACGTGCCTTACTTCCATGTCTACCTACTGGGGCGTGTCCACCTCCGCGGTCACCGCCATGTTCAAGAAGGTGGTCGGGGTCTTCACCAACGGCCTCGTATTGAACCCCTTCGACTGCAGTTTCCACTGCAACCCTGCTACCACCGCACTTACCGCTGCAGCCCCGCTACCTCCACAATTCTGACTGACCCCCCGCTACCACCACATATCCCATTGCAGCCCAGCTGCCACCACAGTTCCCACCGCTGCCTGGCGACCACCACAGTTGCCACCGCCGCTTCCCAACGCCATGCAGTTCCCATTGTAGCCCCCGCTACCACATCTCCCACTACAGCTTCCCACTGCCATGCAGCTCCAGCCTTGGACAGGATCATGGTTTATTCGTATGTCCTGCGCGAGTAGCCTTCGTCCGTCAGAAAAAGGCGGAGCAAGCGATGGCAGAACTGACCGACAGAGCTTAGAGAGCAGGTCAAAACCATCATCCGCCCACCAGCACGCAACATACCATAGCGCACCAGGTTGTCGCATCACCAACGCGTGCGCAGTGCTTCTTCGTGTGCGATGGGCAACTAACTTAACAACCAACATGCCTCAAAGAGCCCACCTTGCGCTTGCCCGCGGAGATTTCAGGGAAAGGCCCTCGTGCATTCCATGTGCGTTTCCACTTGCCTGGTTGTAGAGTGGCCTTCCTGGTTGTAAAGTGGCCTTCTCGGATTTTGTAAGCTGATTGTAAAGTGACCCAACTGGTTGTAAAGTGCGCTTCTGGTTGTGAAGTGACCTACGCGCGGGGGGGGGGGGGGGGGGGGGCGGCAACGGGAAAAGGACAGATGCTGGGTCGCGCGGGTTCTACCCTACTCTTGGCGCTGCGCCTCTGGCGCTGGAGACGGGCCCGGCAACCTTGGCGCCGCCGCCTCCACTCGCGCAGCTGCTCATTGCCGCCGGCCGCAGGCCTGGCCTGAGTTGGCGGCGCGCGGGGCCGCGCCTTCACCGGCGCTGAGGCTGGGCGAAGCGGGGGGGGGGCCGTCGCAAGCAGAGGGCGGGTGGGGTGGGGGGCGCGGGCGGGGCAAGGCATCGTGGCTTTGCTGAATCTCGACCAGCCCTTCTCCGAAGGCGCCGGGCGCGGGCGCGGGGGCAAGGCTCTGGCCACCCTGCCCGGGTGCCTTTCAAGGCCCCTGCGTTGTCAGCGTATGATCGTCTTTCTGCCTCGGCAGGCTGCGCGAGCGGCGCGGCGCCGAGCTTCGCGTGCTTGCCCGTAAATCATTGCCGACCGCTAGATGCCATTCACGGGGCTGCGGGGCAAGGGCCTCCAAGTCCGCATGGGCCCAGACCTGGCGGATTCGGAAATCTTGGCCCCGCGTCGGCGACGCGTGGATCTGCGCGCGGACGCCTGCGCGCGCGATGCCGCGAGGCGATCTGGCGGGGGTGGCGTGGTTCCAGACCCCCATCGGTGGATTAACAGAGAATTCAGGTTGTTCAAGGAAGCCACAGACGAGCGGGACATTTACGCGCCCGTCGATAATGAATTCGATATCTGCCTCTTCCAACCATTCCGCCCGCAGCGGGGCCGAGCGGGGGCAGTGGCGCAGGCGGTGCGATGAACAGTCGGAAGGGATGCCGCACGCGCGCACCGAAGACGCCGCGTAGCCTGCCTGCTGCAACTCGCGCCCAGTCCAAACGGTCTTGCACAAAGGAAGACAACGAACTGCTGGCCTTTTGCTTCGAGAGGCTGCCGCAATAGAGGACCTGCCGGGCAACCGACAAATCTATCGTGGCGCCTGCCTCAAGGCTCAATGTCTGCCCAATGGCGCGCAAGTGGACGCCCTGCCACGCTGCCTGCATTTTTTCTTCAAGAACTTCGGGGATAAGGTAGTGAGGGGCCACTGCTCGCCAGCCAGGCCCTTACAGACCAGTGCAGAATACAACTCCCACCCGATCAGGCGAAAAGCAAGGATGGCCTCTGCGAGCGGGCCACGCACGCTTCCCCAATGTTTTGG